CGATCGGTGGAATTTGGTTATCAACAGCAATAGGATTGGGATTTTTTTTATTTAGTTATTAAATTTATTTACCACGTTTGGTAGAGATGGGGAGGCATGGGGGAAAAATTTGGGGGGGGGGAACCAGCTCCCCCCCCCCCCCGTTTTTTCCCCAAATGGCTTTTTCCAGTTTTTTCCCCCAGGCCTTCCCTATGCCCATCTCATTTTGAAGAGATGCTAGGCAGCTTATAGCATAAAAACCTTAAAATTTAACAACAATAAATATTTCTAACCCAATAAATGGCAATACTATCAAGGTAAAATTGTCATAAGATGGGGAAGGAGGGAACCAACTACACAGGGGGTGGGGGTGGGGTTTTTCTGAATCCATCAACCACTCTAAGTATGATGCTGCTTCCCATTTGGGGCCCGAAGCCATCTGGCTGAGCCAGGTCTTAAGGCTCTTGTGAAAGATCAGAAATGAGGGAACTGATCTCATCTCGGGGGGGGAGATGTTCCAAAATGCAGAAACCATGGCTCTCCTCCTGGATCCCCACAGCCGAAATGCCTTGAATGATGGGATCTGCAGTATGCCCCCTCTTGTTGGCACGGATGGGGTGGACCAGTCTTGGTGGGATAAAATTCTTCCTCAAGTAACATGGATCCATGCCATGCAGAGCTTTAGAAGTGATAACCGGCACCTTGAATTGTACCCAAAAGCAAACTGGCAATCAGTGCAGCTCAGAGAGCGTTAGAATTGCCAAGTGTTGGGATTAGGTAAAATTGCACTTGTCGAGGACTATCTGTATGGAGATGATTCAAATATCGGTAGGAAATTCAGTCACTTGGCCAAAAAGTGATTTGAAATAACCATACTTTGTGTATCATCCAATTAATATTGTTTTTCTACAACCTTCCTAGGGGAGATGTCCCAGAATAGTTCTCTTAAGTCCAGAGTAAAGAAGAAGTAAAAGTTGCTTAGATACAGCTCTAGGAGCCGTACCACTTGTCCTTAAGCCTCCTTCATTCGTTTGAGCAGTGTCTGAGATTTTTTTCTTCCTCTTTCTGATCTGATCTAGGAATAAAACAGCTTTCTGGTGCAAGCTAAAGCTAAGCTACAGTACGCTGCTGTTTTTTTAATGTTGAACTTCCAGTTTTGGAAGTATAATTGAATATTTAATAATCTTAAAATTGAAAGTCACTATTTCTGGCTACAGCCGGCTTTCTCTGCTTTTTATTTAGTGGAATGGCTTTGTGGAAACAGCAATAACATTTTCTGAAAGAGTTTGATGATGCCCCAATATTTTTAATGGGCTCAGCTCATAGCAGTGTCTGTAGTGGGACATTTTTTGCCAGTCAGAGCAATGTACGTGTCAAGCCAGATTGCTCACTTGCTACGTGGGCTGCCCAAGAACGAAAGCCTCCATCTATGTGCTCCTCAGAGGGCATTAGAAGGAAAGCTGTTGAAGAGGTAAGCAGATAAAGAGAGACATTAACAAACACCAGTTCAAGGATGCTGAGAAGTTTCTGCAAGGAAGCTGAAAGTCAGCTGGAAGTAGGCAAGAAATTGTCAGCAATGTTTGTGAAATTACTGATTAAGAAACGAGCATTTTATAATTCGGCTGAGTTCTAGAAAGCACTGATTACTATTACTACTTAATGGGGGCAAAGTAGCTTTATCTTGGCAAAGGTTTTGCAGAGGTTTGATTCGATGTAGTGGGATGTAACTCACATAATTTATTGGTGCCTTGGGTCTAGACAAGAGTATCAATCTGAAGAATTATATGCAAAATACTCTTGTTGTTAAGAGGTGTAGCTCAGTTTTTATAGCACACATTTTTCCATGCAGAAAGTTCAATCTCTGTAGGAAAGGCTGGCAAATACTGCAGTCTTGAAACCTTGAAAGTTGCTGGCAGGCAAGGCAGACTAGTTGTGTTGTGGGGGCAGCAACTTCATACGTTCAGTATCTTTCATTAAATCATCAGCAGAGCCCTTTCACTGTCACTGTGGCTTATTTCTGTGCTGTGATTAGATAAAATCAGATCTACTTAAGAAGCAATCAGTTTTAACAAGTCTCCAACTTGATGGCATAAGCTTAGTAGGTAGGACAGATGGTCCTACCAAGCTATATTTTCCTGCAGGCAAAAGGTATTCTGTAACTCCATAAGTGGATTGATTCTGTTTTTTTAAACTGTTTTTCATTGCCTTAAAGCAGTATGTGCATTCTTTGGTTTGATTCAGGGTGTGGTATGAACCAGGCACTCAGATTTGTTGATTTCATCAAACATATTACTACCTACCCCCTAACAGCTCCAGACAGTTTACAAAAATACTATAAAAACAATTGTCCAAATATTTCCGTTCTCTAGATATTTGGATTATAATTCATAGGAAATCTGACCATTGACCATACTAGATGAGATGTGGAGTCCTTGGATCTTTCTGAGTTTGATTGTTTGCTTGCAGATGTTTCACTACCTAACAAAGTAATGCATTCAGTGCTAGAAGGGAGTGGGAGTCACTCTGTATCAAGCTCAGACAGCATCAGGACTCCACAGTTCAATCCTGAGCTAATATAGTCTCTTCTATTTATACTGGATGTGGTTTGTAGAATTCCAAAACATATAAAAGGACCATATGAGTAAGTTGGTGCAAAATAGAGAACATGGGCTGATGATGAGAAGATAATACCTATTAATGAATATTAGCCATCTTTTGAAAGTTAAGTTTTCCCAACATTAACTCTTAGTTTTAGCCTGTTTTGTGATTAAGATTGTAGGAAACTTGTTCATGCCCCAGGTGTGGCATTAAGATGAATATGAAGATGAGGTTGCGTTACAACTGCTAAACAGAGGTGCAGCATTGTGTGTTGTTTCTAGAAACAAGTTTAAAGAGGAAAAAAAAAAAACAATCCAAGTGTTATCCAGGTTGAGCCTCCTCTAACTTTATTGACTTCCTGGAAGTAAGTCGGGTGCTGGGGCTAAAGCCAGAATGAGAAAACTGTTGTAGTACAGTACAGTTGCTAGCTTCCCTAATACCGAAGTTGTTTCCCTAATACTGAGGTTGTGTTAATGGTGCCAGTGCCACTACAGCTTAAAGGGGAGGCCAGCTGCTAATCTCATTCTTTCCTCATGCCCTTCCTTTGGATTTCTAGATACTGGCTAAACATATTAACAGAAATCTGTAGTAAACCAAATGCATATTTGGGATTAACAACTAATGGGAATGCTAATAGGTATATTAAAAACAGAAGACTTGAGTGGTAAGAATTTAAATCATGAAAGATGCTCAAGAGGTTCCAAACTGAAATGAATTTGGGTGCTTGAGTATGGTAGCCACTGGCCCATCTTAAATTATTGAGTCAGTACTGTACATTTCTTCATGTAGCAGTAAACGGTAACTGGAGTTACATGGGACAAAGTGTGCTAAAGGTGCATTATAGAGCATGGAGGATTATTATTGTAGAATTAATGTTTAATATGCTACTTCTTTCTCTTTACAGAATTCATCATGTATCATTTTTGCTGCCAGACATGCAAGTGCTTCTAGTGTAAGTTGTGCTTTTTTTCCCACTTCTTGTTGATGTACAAAACCTGTTGGTTGACTATTTGAGTCTTGACTATACCCAAGATCACTCTAGGTCAGTGATGGCTAACCTCTTCCGGACCGAGTGCCCAAAGTGTGCAAATACAAGTGTCTGTGCCCAAACTGCCAACATGCAATGCACACACGGCCACCACCCACACACCTTCCCGCCCCCCGCACATGCACAGCAGAGACTGTGGGAGGCACCCGCACATGCGTGGGAGAACTGAACTGGGGAGACGGCTCACATGCCCACAGAGGTTGGTGACTGCATTATTGGCACCAGACACATACTTGGTGTCAGTATATATTCTTTTCAAATTTAGTAATTCGTCACATTTGTCAATAAATTTCAGGAGATAGAATAGTTTGCAAAAGCATAACATATTTCACTATGTTTATGATGAGAATTCATAGTATAACCATAAATACAGCGTTGTAGTTACTGGAAAAGGAAGAGGTGATAGTTTTTCAAGTTGATTTTTAAGTTAGGAAGAGTTCAGAAGTATTCTGATAGCTAGGCAAGAATGTAGTTTTGTTTATAAAGTTTTGTATTTCCATTGAAATGATATACCAATGGTTTTAACATATGATACCATTGATAGTCCATGCCTTTTTAATTTACATGCAAGAAAACCAATGGAAAAAGAAAAAAGGATCAGATTACTTATAACTGTGTGAATAGAACATAGTCTCCAATCTCATCTCATTGTTTTGTGTTCATGTGAAACAAGATGATGAGCGAAAATGGTACAAAACCACTAAATCTTTAAAAAAATTAATGAAGGTTTTTGTAATCGCTTTTATCAGCAAAAATATGAAACCACTAGATTAAAGCACAGGCAAGTCGATAACACAAAATTGTAAATGTGAAAAATTTGAAAATGTGATCTGAAGGGGGAAAAAGTATAGAAATAACAAAGGGGAATCTACCTGGTGAACCAGAGGTCATGATATTAGGACAAAACTTCTCTTGGTGTAGATTGTACCCAGGACTACTGTAAAATAAATATAAAACAAATATGAGCAACATTTTATTTCATAACATTGACTTCTTTTTCTCTCATGTACCATTTTTGTAAGTTGGTTTTCTACCATTGACAATAGTTGATTTGTTATGTATAACATTAGACATTATTTTATTTTCAGAATCTGAAAGATGTTCTTGCAAATATGATACCCAAAGAACAAGCAAGACTTAAAAGCTTCAGACAACAACATGGCAGTACTGTCATTGGACAAATCACTGTAGATATGGTAAGTTGCATTGCTATACAAGCAAGAGTGGAGAAGACATCAGTGTGCAATTAGTCTGGCTTCTGTACTCTGCAGGAAATGAAATTGTTATGATGGTACGTTGCTAGACACCTACTCTGTGTACCAGACATTAGTATCAGGTCTGGATAAAAAAAATCAGAAAATGTTTGAGTGTGTGGGAAAAAAAGGAAGATTCAGATCCAACTGTAGATTACATAAGAGCTCCAGATTCAGCTTGCATGTCTCAAGTGAAAAGCTGGCAAGAATCAGGACTAGAATTAACCTCTCTCTGGGATCTTGGAGAACTGCTTAGTATTTGTTTCTCATTGGTCTGCGTTACGTAGAAACTATTTTCTTTATGTTTGAATGGGAACAATTCTTGTTCATGTGTCCTAGAATAGACTGAGGTTCTTCACTTGGAATCTGCTGCTGCTCTGCTGAATTGATTTTAATTAAAGATGTGTTCACCTCTTTTTTCAGAGAAACCCCCCCAAAAGATTCGATTCTGAACAGAAAATTATATCAAGCAGTTCAGAATCTGCAACCTGCGTACATTTGACAAATTAAAGCAATTGCTTAATATATCTTCCCTAATTTATTCGGAAACATGCACTACTTTGATAATACTGCTTCTGCTTATTAGGGAAGTAACTACCACTACCCAATCTTCAATTCCTGGAAATCTTAGTCACCTCTCTGTCTTTTAAAGCTTCTATTCACGTGTACTTTTCACCATATATCTACAGTTCTAAATGTCTGTATGCTCACAGCTGGGTCATACCGATAATAAACTAGAAGCTTAGTATCACCTTAAATCACAGATATTGGTTGTGGTGACTGTTTCAGCTTTGGTTTTAATTTCCTGTTTTAGCTCAAGATTCAACCAGTAATAGCTGGTACTTCTTAACATCTAAATATCAAATCAAATGTTACTTCCTAGCCCATGAATTCCAATTTCATGTAATAAATTGCATTTTCTCCTTGTTGGATACACTCATGTGCGTTCATTTTGGTTGCATATCTTAGGGTTGTTTATCTACTAGGCCTGAGCCTTCAGATAAAGTTGCAATCCTTAGGGGATTTACAGACTGTTCTATGCACAAAGTAGCTAATTTTAATGATCTATGTCTGGACCAAAGCACATATGTTCCAGGAAGTGGCAGCTCAGAGGATCAGGAAAAAACTTAGGACATCAGCATTAGTGGCTAAGCGAATAGGAAAAAGAAGGCACTGGGAAGATTAGCAGGCAGGCTAGCATCCAGGCTAGGTGCAGGAGGAACATGAGAATGAGGTTCAAAAGCCTTTCTCTAATCATCTGGTAAGACATCTCCAAATTTTGTTTTGACCAAAGTCTGAAGCAACCAAAATGTTCCCAGTTTTGGTCCTGTCAAACTGGAGCCCATTAGGTACTCTATGCCGAAATTTGAATCTCATGGCAGTCAAGGGGGAGCATGTTTTCTGCATGATGCATTTTGCTAGCAGGCACCTAGTTTACTATTCCTCATCTCTAGACAGGCTTTTTCCTCATCTTGTCTCGTTACAAAAATCACTTTAGGTTGAGAAGGGGCAACAGCCTTTAGTGTAAATGTCTGTGTAAGTTTCTGCATTCATGTGGACACCAGATAAAACTGATGAGTTCTTCATATAAAAAAAATGAAAAAATAAATTGGTAGGATTATACTGGTAGAGAGGAGGAATGATCTGAAGACAGGAAGCCATGATGAAAAACAGGGTAGTGTTTGTTAGTTTTGCATTTTGTCTCGTTTCTGTTTCTTGAAAATTGTTCATATATGACTGATCATTGATTGGCTTGTGTATGTCTTTTCTTAGCTTTTTCTGAGGTGGGTGCTTTGTTGTGCTTTATGGAGAGATGGGTGAGATTTGACATTTGGGGCTCAGTTCCCAGTTCTGTCTTGACCAGCTTGTGTTTTTCTGATTCAGTAAATGAATCAGTAAATTATGTTTTTAAGTTAAAAGAAAAATATATTTAAGAAAATGACTTTGAGTCTACATTTGTTTGGCTTTTATAATTTTTTTTTCTGAATTAGCATGCTTATCCTCTCCTCCCATGCCCCCTTGGTGGCATGCTGTCAAACTTCCAAAAGCTTGTAATCCCATGCCAAAGAGGAATAATTACTTCTTGTAGTGTTCCTCTTCCTCTCCCAAAACTGCCATGGGAAGGAGAGAGATAAAAAAGTGAAAATGTGGGGAGAGGGCTCTAGAGAAAACATACTACAGTATCTGAATTATTTTCAGTTAGGATTCAGGCCCAGTCAGAGGACAGAAATTGTATTGGTCATTCTAGTACATGACCTTTGCTGTGACTTTGATGGGTGGAGTGCCTCTCATCTAATCCTATTAGATCTTTTCACAGCATTCAGTATCACCATCAAACATCTTGTTTGGCCCATATATAAGAGTTGAGGACACGATTTTGGTGATTCCCCTCCTCTGAATGGACAATTTTAGTCAGTGGTGCTAGGGGAGAAAATGCTCAAGCCCTTGTGTCCTCCGGTATGATATCCCACAAGCCTCAAGCCTTTCCTCTATGCTATTTAACATCTTCATAACATTGCTGGAAGAGGACATCCGGTGCTGTGATGCCATTAGTATGCTGAAGACATCCAGCCATACTGTCATCATCTCAGATTATGCCAGAGATACTATAGAAGTCCTGATTCAATGATTGGAATCTGTGAGGAATTGAATGGGAGGAACTGAATGGGATGCTCCTTCAAGATGGAGTTGCTGTTTGCCCATAAACATTAGAGCACAATGCCAAGATTGAGCCCAGGATTACTCGGGGGGTGGAGGTGGGGTTCATGCTTGGGAAGGAGGTGGTCTTTGACTAGGGAAGCCAATTGGATTTCTGGTTTCTGATTAAGCAGCAGGTGGAAGCAGTGGCTAGGGGAGCTTTCACCCAATTTATGCACCACTTAACAATCCTACTTAGATCAGGGGAGGGTATTCCCTGGGAAGGATATCTTACACTTTGATTGCTACTCAGTTGGAATACTCTTAATACGTTCTATGTGGGGCTGCCTTTGGAAATGACCCGGAAGTGCAGCTAGTAACAAAACACAATGACAAGAATGCCAGTGGGAGAATCTCATAAATCTACAGTAACATCTCAATAAAGTTGACATACTGGTTACCAGGACGCTCCCAGGCTCTATTACATTAGGTAGCAGGTTGCTAGAACAGAATTTGTCCATCTGGAACAGTCGTGTGCAGAAGGTCTTCTAAAAGTCCCCCAAGGTGCATGAGGTATGAACAAGATACGAGGCCATCTCGATAGTTACCCCCATTTTGGGTATTGCAAGGTTTTGTATTCCCTGCCCCCATAAATACATGTAGCCCCTACACCCTTTGCTGTTGGAAAGAAAATGGTAAGTCTCCTTTAGCTTAAGCCGAATGGGGGATGCCAGGATAGCTTCATATTTTCCTGATATTTGTTGTTTTAATTTGAATCTGTTTCACTCATTACCCAGAGTCCTTGGTGATTAGAAAAGTTCAGAAATACTGACAGATAAAAGAAATAAATGCTGACATTACTGCCTCAAACTCTAGTTTTTCTTGTTCAGCTTTCCTCAAGCCAATCCATGCTAATGAGGAGAGTTATATCTCCTATTATTCACTCCAAGCACATTCATGACAGTTTGGCTTAAAGAAAGTTGTAGTTGAAAACATCCAGAAAGTACCAGCTTGAGAAAGTTATTGATAGAAACCTTTGGGATAGGTTAAGTACATTTCATTTCTGGCATTATACACAGTAATGGATGTAAAAGTTTAACTTGTCTGGAAAAGCCTAGTCATGATTAAGCAATGCACCAATGTCCCTGATTTTATTTGTAACCCAGTTCTTTCTCAAGTGTGGATCTGCCAAAGCAGTTTTCTTGATTTCTAACTTCCTAGGCTGCGCCCAGCCTCGGTTTTTTTCTGAATTACAATTCATCTCATTAGTTGCTTTTAAATTGATGTCCTGTGTAATCTAGGGCACACTGGATGTGAAAAACTATAGTAGGTTTTCTGAGTGCCAGCTGGAAAGCTAGCCTTGATTGTTTGTTAAAAAGTGCTGTTCTATTTGACCTGATTGAAGCTGTAGACAAAAAGAGGATAGAAAGGGGAAGAATTAAGAGAAATAGGGAGCAAGAGACACTATTAAAACTTATCACTGTTGTGTTTCAGATTGCTAAAAGTGATAGAAAATGTGTAACGAAACTTGGTAAATTCTCTTCCAATTTTTCTATGATATATAAAAAGTGAAATATATGCAAAAGTATATCAACAAGCTAACTACACGTGTGACTTAAATCACCTCAGACTGAACGGAAAAAGGGAATTTTTAGAAACTTTTTATTTGTTTTAAGTAACTCTCTTTGTCCTCCAGGTCTACGGTGGCATGAGAGGTATGAAAGGACTAATATACGAGACTTCTGTCTTGGATCCTGATGAGGTAAGGAGGGCAGAATTGGTGACATTACTTTTGTAATGAGCTCTTAGCATCCCACTTAAAATGTGGTTTCTTATCCTGTTTCTGGGATTGGTTTTTAGGGCATTCGTTTCCGTGGCTACAGCATTCCTGAGTGCCAGAAGCTGCTACCCAAAGCCCCTGGAGGTGCAGAGCCCCTTCCTGAAGGGCTCTTTTGGTTACTGGTGACAGGAGAGATTCCTTCTCAAGAACAGGTAATAAGACATGGCAAAGATTTCTGGGAGACTATCATGTTCATCCCATTTAAACGATAAGAGCTCTATTGTAATGAGGAGAACAGCCAAGACCACAGAAGGCTGGTGTTGGATAGCACTTTTCTTCCTAGCCTAGCTATAGATGTGTAACATTGTGGTTTTCTTTACTCAGGTGACTTGGGTGTCTCGAGAGTGGGCTAAGAGAGCAGCCCTGCCTTCCCATGTAGTGACTATGCTTGACAACTTCCCCACCAATCTTCATCCCATGTCACAACTCAGTGCTGCTGTCACAGCTCTCAACAGCGAGAGCACTTTTGCCCGCGCCTACTCTGAGGGAATTAGCCGGACCAAGTACTGGGAGGTAAGCCACAAGCAGCAACCTTTCCACAAGCGTCGGTAGGAGAGGTCACAAAAGAGACCTCAAGCTTGGCGCTGTTATGAATGTGTGTACCTGTACCATGTCGGGATTTTCTTCACCATCTGATTGAGTTATCTAGAATTAAAATCCAGAATTATATGTTGGAAATTGTGTGCATGTATGTATAAATACAAAATGTGTTCATGAATGGTCTTGGCTGTGCACCGAGCTTCTTTTTTTAAGGCTGAAAATATAAGACTATACCTGTTAAAATTTAGAAAGTGGAGTAAACCTTTTGGGTAGTTTTTGTTGGTCAAAGCTTTATCGTGCTCTGCAATCTGAAGATTGTTTCTGCGATCTTTTTATTGCACCTGTCATTTGACAACTTTGTGTACAATATATTTAAATGCTGCTAAATACAAATTTGATTCTAGGACTGATTTGCTGCTTAACTTGTCAAGATTTTGGTAGGGATGCAAGCTTACCTCTGAACCAGCAACTGCAAAGGAAAGAAATCTAGCCAGTTAACTTTACTAAATTCTGAATGAGTTTTAACCATTCAATTAGCCACATCATTAACTTTTCTCTCCTGATGATCCTCCTGTTACTGCTTAGTCATTTCAGGGTTTTTGTGACCAAGTAGACATAATTTCCCTAGGATTATCCAGTTAGCACACAATACATGACAAAAGTCAGCTTAGCATATGACCTTGGTTCTCAGTCTCTGGGCTCCGACTGTGGCTGTCCGGGTAATATGAGACCTTGAGCGTAATGACATGTGCTCTGGCCTGACTTACACTGTGTGTGCACACCTGCCCCCTGAACTGAAGCAAGGAGACTTTGGTCTGGCTGTATAGATCTTTATCTGCCATGAGGTGTTGCTGTCTGATTTGCAAATGACAGGGGGTGGGGAGAGACAGTGCTAAATTTGCTTTGGCTGCCCACTCAGTAATCTTTCCAGCATATGGTTTGAAACTGAGGAGTTTGTTAGAAGAGAATCGTTTCCTAACCAAGATGGCTTTGGATCTGTTCTTGTCATTGATGATGTCTTGTCTTGAAATGAGGTAAAGAATGGGATCCTGTGGACTTTCAGGATGCAATCAGTTTCCCTTCTCTGCCTTGTCATTCTTCGGTTTTCTATAGAGAACGAGAGAGTTGTTAGTTGCGAAGTTGTGTCCAACCCATCGAGACCCCATGGACAACATTCCTCCAGGCCTTCCTGTCCCCTACCATCCTCTGGAGTCCATTTAAGCTCACGCCTACTGCTTCAGTGACTCCATCCCACCACCTCATTCTCTGTCATCCCCTTCTTCCTTTGCCCTCAATTGCTCCTGGCATTAGGCTCTTTTCCAGTGAGTCCTTCCTTCTCATTAGGTGGCCAAAGTATTTGAGAAAGAGGGAGAGAGAGAGAGAGAGCATCAAACAATCCTGCACCTCCTGCTCATAGAAAACAGCTGCATGCAGGACAGAGCAGCCTGATTCAGCAGCTGCTTGGTCAGTGAAGAACTTCCTTCCCAGAGCATTCACTCTGCAAAAACAAAAGCAGCTCCTACAGGATGTGAAATCAGTACAGGTAGTCCTCGACTTACAACGGTTCAGTCAGTGACTATTTGAAGTCACAACAACGCTGAAAAAAGTGACTGATGACTGTTTTTCAAACTCATGACCTTTGCAGCATTCTCCCTGGTTACGTGATCAAAATTCAGACGCTTGGCAACTGACTCATATTTATGATGGTTGCAGTGTCCCTGGAGTCACGTGTTCTCCTTTTGCGACTTTCTGAGAAGCAAAGTCAATTGGGAAGCCAGATTCATTTAACAACCGTGTTACTAATTTAATACCTGCAGTGATTCAGTTAACTGTGGCAAGAAAGGTCATAAAATATCACTTAACAGATGTCTCACTTAGCAACAAGATGTTGGGCTCAATTGTGGTCGTAGGTCGAGGACTATCTGTACTCCTAACCTCATCCTATGGGGGACAACAGATGATATCACCATCCTTGCAGGAATGCCAAGTGGAAGCTGAGCTCTCTGAAGTCTTCCTCATCAGAGACAGGCTCTTGTTTTAACTATTTCTCATCGTGGCTCCAAATTACTTCACTACTTCACATCTTCTCCAATTGTGGAGAAAATAATGATGTGGAAAAATATATCAAGTAATCAGATGTGGGCAGGTTTGGGTAGGGCTGTTTCTAAAATGCTCACTGGGCGAATGGGCCAATTAGGTATGCTGGATTAGTTCCATTGATTAGAGATTCCCCAACTCTTATGATGAAACATGCCCTGAAATGACTTCCTGTTCCTGCAGCTGGAGTGGAAATGGATTGTTGGACCCTGTGAAACCCTTCCAATTTGAAGGCAAAAAGATACTCGAAAGACATGTGGTTATTCCTATAGCAGCTTTCTGCAGCTGTCTCCCTGGAATTGCCTGGGTGCCTTCTGCAGTTAAAGCATGATCCTCAGAAAGACGGATTTGTCTCAAGAGATGGTAACAGGTACTATGTGTACATAGCTGGCTCAATGGATAAGATATTGAACTTGTCAATCAGAAAGATCAGCAGTTCAGCAGTTCGAATCCCTAGTGCCGCATAACAGAGTGAGTTCCCATTACTTGTCCCAGCTTCTGCCAACCTAGCAGTTTGAAGCATGTAAAAATGCAAGTAGAAAAAATAGGGACCACCTTTGGTGAGAAAGTAACAGCGTTCCATGTGCCTTCTGTCTTTTCGGACAGCGCTGGCTCTTTGGCTTTGAAATGGAGATGAGCACCGCCCCCTAGAGTCAGGAATGACTAGCGCATATGTGGGAGGGGAACCTTTACCTGCAATAATGTGTACATTATTGCAGCATCTTTTTGCTCTGAATCTAAAGCATTGCACAAACTTAGTGATCATTGTGTTACTAAGAAAATACAACACTTTTCATTCTAAACAGCCAGTTGTTTCTTCCCCGTCCTGTTTTCATCTTAGCAACCCTTTATGATATATGATTATATACATAGTATTCATTTGGCAGTAGCATCCGACTACACCATTTTCAGTTTGTTCTTTTACAGAATTCTCCATATTTTTGACAGAGCTTTTTTTTTTAGGTAACCAATACTGGCAATTTGATTGTTAGTATAAATGCTTCGAATGGCATTCCTTTTTGCCATGTCTTCAACTCCTGTCCACATTGAGTCCTTGCAAAATATTTAAACCACATATTCATTACGGACTGCATTATGATAGAAGTGATGATGACTTACTGTTTCAAAAGTGCTCTTTATATAAATCTCTGTCAGAACAACCTTGGAAAAGGAAAGGTAGCTGGAATCTGATCCTAGATTATCTTTTCTTTCATTTCTTAAATAATGCCCTCTTGCCCATTTATCCTCTAATTTCCATTCAACCGATGAGTTGCCTTTGCTGTTCTGCTGCTTCCTTGTCTGTCCCCATGTCTCATAGAGCTGCTCTGAACTGTTCATACTCCTTTATCAGTCTGCTGTTTTTTGTCTTCCCTTGCCTTAAACTATTTTTCCCCTCATGCTAGGCCCCTTAGTTACCCTTCCTTTTCCAATGTTATAGATCCCAGGAGTACAGGAATGGCAACATTCATTTTGCTTCTCAATCTAATTATGCTTTGGCTTCATGGTTGCCATAATGTCCTTCCCGTGTGCCCTTCCCATAGGATCAGATTTTGAACAGATTTGGACAGATTTATCTGTCCTGCTTGACCTGGTTGCGCCAGCGTTGTGAACTCTTATCAGGGCAGCTGCTGTAAGAAGTAACCTGGCACTTGTGTGATGCTACAGTTGCAAAACATACAGCTGGAATAGGAAGAGAGGGTGGGAGGGAGGAGTGTGCAGATAATACAGTAAGTGGTTTTTCAGTTCTGGGTGTGTCCTCAATTTGCAGTGAGCAGATGGATTGTGCCAACCAGCAGAAGGCCAGGAGGATTGGCACATTTATCCCGCCAGACTACTGACTAATGCTGAGTTGGAATAAGGACCGAAAGTCTAAATGGGGAATGTAAAACAAATCCTGGAGATGATGGGTAGCAATGGTACTCACTGCTACCCTTTGCTATAGGTGCTTCTTTTTTAGTCTTTACAAAGGCTCTTGGCAGTAGTGTTTATTAGAAAACTCAGGCGCTTAAGCAAGTAAGAGACAAGAGCCTTCCAGCCCCTTAACGATAATCTTATAATGGTCTTACAATTCCAGCAGGGAAGATCTGATTATATATTTGTTTGTTTGTTTAAACATTGATATAGCTGTCCACCTTACAGCCAACTCTGGGCAGCTCCCAATCATAGATTAAAAAACATAAAAACATGAACGCAGCCAGTTAAAACGTAAAACATGAAAAACCATTAAAACCATGAATTCCAAAGTTTTTTGGGGGTGGGAACCAATTTTTAAAGCCTTACAAGAGGCATATATTCTTATAAGAAGAACATTTTTAAAACTAGATATGCACTTACCTTATCTGAAACTTCTGCAGCGGGGGGGGGGGGTCTGCTTAGCAGATCACCTGCTGCTGGGAGAATAGCCTTGTAAGCAAGTCCTCCTGATCCTCTTCTCTTCTTGTTTTGTCTTGTAGTTTATCTATGAAGACTCCATGGACTTGATTGCCAAGTTGCCTTGTATTGCTGCAAAGATCTATCGCAATCTTTACCGTGAAGGTAGCAGCATTGGCGCCATTGATCCCGCCTTAGACTGGTCATACAACTTCACCAACATGCTGGGCTACAGTGACCCCCAGTTTATTGAACTTATGCGGCTCTACCTCACCATTCACAGGTAAGCCATGCCTATGTGAAAGTCCTAGATTCTCTGGGTACATCTACTTCTACAGCCACAGGCTGAATTGAGCAGTGGAGAAAGATAGAGCTTGGGTGACAGCTGGTTGACAATTGTCAAAAAAAAAAAAGCTGCAGGAAAGTGGTTGAAATCAACCAACCAAAATTGCACAGAAAGGCTATAGTTGCAGTTCTGGGAATTGCACGAGCTGTTAACAGGAGTAATCCAAATTCTTCCAGTGGCTACTTCCAGTGTGGCTAAATTTGGAAGTATCTGAGCAGATTTAAGCAATGAATGGTAATACAGATAATCCTCACTTATTCAGCTACCAAAGTTATGATGGCACTTAAAAAGTAGGTTTACAAACAGTCCTTAGTTGTGTGGCTCTTGCAGTGTCACAGTGGTCACAACTCAGGTGCTTCGCAACTAGAGTACATTTACAACAGTCACAGCATCTCACAATCACGATTGCTATTTGTGACCTTCACAAGATAAGAAGATAACCTTTATTGTCATTTTTTTCCTGTGGGCACTCTGGCACACATTTAAAAGTTGGATTAGTCTAAGTAAAGTCAATGTGCAAATCAGCAGGAAGTCACAAATTGATGCCGGTCTTAATGACCAGCTGTGATACTATTAACAACTATAGTGGAACTACAATGGAACTGTCATAAGTCAATCATGAGGTTAACAACTACATTACTTAGTGATGGAGTTGCCAGTCCCAATGGTGGTCAGTAAGTGAGGACTAACTATGGCTGGGTTCATATATTCTTGTTATGGTTACTTAAGTAAGCCATAGTTGATTGGGTTCACTCATTGCAGTTAGCCATAAATTTTGGTTTATAAACCACATTAACTGAGGAAACCAAAATCAAATAATCCACATTATGATATTGCGTGATGTTTGAAGCTGGTCTGTGTTTCAGTGTCTTTGAGGACATTGTTAGCCAAAGGCATGACATTTTAACTGCCTGATTTCAACTGTAGCATAAGCTGCCGAGTTCAGTTCGCTGCATAGTTTCACTTTTTAAAAGCTCTTAGGTTAGCAAGGACTTCTGGAAGCTGCAGTTGGTTAGACTGCCAACAATATTCATCTAAATAAACTTGCTAAAGCTGCTGATGTTCATGAATAACTCCACCTAGTGGCAAAGAACATTTTTTTTCAGCAGAAAATTGCCCAATACAAATGTTTGAATATTATTGTTACATTCATATATGTCTGGTACAAACAACCATGATAAAAAAAGTTTGAAGTGTGCCATGGTACAAATGCTAATTTTGCATTCTAATCCTGACATCAGATGTGCGTACAGGTCATCTAGTTTTGCATCACAATTCATCTAATTTTTAAGCAGCTGCTTATGGGATTTCTCTGCAAATGTGGCTCTTGGGGAGGTGAGATGCCATAGTTTTTCCTATAATTCCTAGTTAATTTTATCAGACAGCCAGTAAGGGTGCTTTTAAAAACTAAAGTCTGCTGTACTCTAGGATTGCAAAGAAGTGTCAAATATTAAATGGCATTAATAGTGTAAAGGCCTTCACATAATTTAGAATAAAGGTGGACAATCTAGAGTCTTTATGCCAAATGTAAATTCAAAATTCCTCCAAAGGTTATCACAAATAATGATTGTTAGTGTGATTTAAAATAAACAGCCCTGAGATGAATTTAAATCCTACTGACTACATGGCACATGAGAAAGAAACATTCCAGGAAGTTTACAGTCATGAGGGGGAAAATCAGCCTCCCAAACCCCTTTTTGAGGGGAAGGAGGGAACAAAAATGTGCATTTTTTTTATACCATCTTTTATTGAAATCCACTTTGCTAATCTGCTTTACTATTTTAAGGACATAAAATAATGTGTATACTTTGGTTTATTAATACATTTACTATATGGGGTATATTTAGTAGCTGTAAAATTCAAATTTAGTCTGATAGTTTGATTGAATTCACTTTAAAGTGTTTTAAACATTTTCTTTTGGCACTTCTCTGGGCTTCTTCTATTCTTGAAAGCCTCATCAAAAGCAGATCCACTGACATTCAGATCAAAATTTAGCACTGGATAAGCCCCCAAGCAAATCAAACACTGAATTTTTTTAGGGCTGAAGATGGTAATGGCCACCTCCAGGAGACAGGATAGTATTTGGCAATTGCCTTGGAAATTTTTCCTGCTGTGCTAGATCTCTAAGTACTGTCAAGTTCTGATATTTTCAATAAAACATTTCCTATTATGAAATACAGATGGACCTTGGTTGTAAGATGGCAATTAGGGCTGAAATTTCTGTCACTAACCAATGTAGTGGTAAAGCGTGGCCTCCCTTAGCAATGACAGTTCCATTCGTCTTCATTGGTGTTTTAACCCAGAGGCTGGTGGGCCATTAAGATGAGGACCTCATGTAACTAGAGTCCTGGGCAAGTAGGTCAGTGGATGAGAGCTATGGGGAGGTGGGTTAATGCTGGAGATGCATGCTAAGGAGCATGGGTGGGCCAGCAGGGGTTGCAGGAAGGTAGGTTGGTAGAAGCTATAAAGGGTGGCCTGACAGGGACCACTAGGACTAGCTGTAATAGAAAAAATTTGAATGGAATAAAGAATAGCAGTATATAGACATCTTGCCTTTCTGCATTCACTATTCTGAAGAAAAATATTTTATTACAGTTTTCTTTTAATTATTCCTCCTCCAAAAATCAATTTTAAAAAACCTGGAGGGGAATATTTTCCTCTTAAGTTTTCCTATTTTACAGTTTGCCCATGTAGCGTTTGTTATTTAAATTTAATTAGATTGAGGGATGTTTGTTTTTTTAATGTTGGCCTCACTTACTTTTTTGAAGTGCCACCCAGGCTTACAAAAGTCAATCTGGAGTTGGGTGCTGCCAAAATTGAATTCATTAAAAAAGCAATTTTGCCCCGAGAATTGAACAATGGCTAAAAGCAGGCTTCAGTTCTCCACCTCAAATATTCTTCTTCAGGGGGAAGATTTTGGTGAATATTTAATTTATTATACTTGGCCAAATGCATATGAAATTCTTTCCACCTCTGTAGATACAGCTGTAAGATGGCTTGCCCAATGCTGATCTCTCTATCTCCCCCCCCCCACCTTCTCCTTTTGCAGTGACCATGAGGGTGGCAATGTCAGTGCTCACACTAGTCATCTTGTGGGCAGTGCTCTCTCTGATCCCTACCTAGCTTTTGCTGCAGCTATGAATGGTCTGGCTGGGCCTCTTCACGGTCTCGCAAATCAGGTAAGAACATGTGGTTCAAAAGCCAATCTTGCACTGTGGGCAGAGCTTTTGAGGAACTACTGCTTTTTTTTTCTTACACTATGATCAAATCTCACTACTTTAATACAGGAAGTGCTGGTGTGGTTGACAAACTTACAGAAGGAACTAGGTGAGGAGGTATCTGATGAAAAACTGAGGGACTTCATTTGGAACACTTTGAACTCTGGCAGGGTAAGTGCTGACATCTCTGCATAATAGGCAAGTGCAAAGAAAATTTATCTTTAATCCAGTGTCTGAGAGAATAATTGCCAGTGAGGTTGATTTAGATGTTGGAGAAGAAATTCTTTAGTGAAAGAATTCTTGCAGTGGTTAAATAGTTGTGAACGGGAAAAACTCTTCTCTGCTTGAGACATTATTGGAGCATTCCTAGGCAGATGATAAATACAGACAAATAATCTGAACTTCTACTCTACAAGATAGTTCTTTGCCTGGCTGAATTGTTCAGGGAAATTCAACAGGGATATCACAAAAAGGTAGTGATTGAGCCAGCAAATTAGGAGCCCATAACTGAAAAACATTAATTTTCCAAAGTAAAACACTAGGACATGGGTTATGCGTTAGAAACACTAAATTTTGCATAATTCACCTTTGTAATTTAAGGGAGTGTACTCCCCTTTTATTGTGCTTCCCATGTAGACAGATAAAAAGGCTTGGGATAATGACAGTGGGAAAGAAATAACTGGGTGCCATGGTCAGCTTATCCTATGAGATCTTTCTCCCAGACACCGATTAGGAAAGGAGAGCTGAAATAGAAAAGATAGAGATATGGTGGCCTTGATTATGATATGCATATGTCCTAACAAATTGTGTTCTATGGTGTGTTTTAAAATATGCTGTTAGGACAAGAAATCAAAATTGTGGAAGTATCATGGCCCCTAATTTAAGGCATAGCTGGATTCAGACTTTGCACTAAATCATGGCTTGTTTTAATATGGTTTGTGAAAAACTCCATAATGGCTATGTTTACACCAAGCAAACTGTTATGATTTAATTAGTCAATATCTATTCATTTCAATAGATATTTCAGTGATTCACCTCTGTGTTTCATGGCAGGCAGGCAGACAATGGATGGACAGACAGACTTCTGCAAATGTTAACTCTGGCATCCTCAAAATTTAAGAATACCCCCACAGGCATTTTTAAAAAAATATGCGTGGCAGCATTTGGGTATTTCATTTAGAAATATGTTCACCTGCTGCTTCCTCCCGCTGTTGATTGGAGCAGTATATTTATACTCAGTCATACAATGTAAAGTTGAGGTATGATTCCACAGAAAGATAGGTTTATCCTTTCTAAAGCAAAGAAAGAGTTGTGCTAGTAGTACTTATCTTCTGGGGAGCTGTGATTGTTGGTGATTAGTCATTGGAAAAGGAAGTACAAGAACCTGTTGTTCATGGCCTCCCTGCATTGTTCTGTACTCTAAGCAATGTTCATATTGTAGGTGGTTCCTGGCTATGGACATGCTGTACTGCGGAAGACAGATCCCCGCTACACCTGCCAGAGAGAATTTGCTCTCAAGCATCTTCCCAAAGATCCTCTCTTCAGGCTAGTAGCCCAGTTATACAAGATTGTCCCTAATGTGCTTCTGGAGCAGGGAAAGGCCAAAAATCCTTGGCCCAATGTGGATGCACATAGTGGAGTCCTGCTACAGGTGCGTTGCTAGTTCTAATATCTTTCCTTCTTGCAGGATGGGGTGGAAGACTTGTACTCATGTATTCAGATGCAAACTAAAATGAATGATGGTGCTGAATGAAATTGTGGTCACGAAGGATGATTTTCAGAGAATGTATTGTAGAAAGTGTAATGGTTTTCTTGTATTCTAATAGTTTGTGGAGGAGCCTCTCGGGCACTAACTGATTAGTCAAAGGAAATTTGATCCAGAAACCTCAGCCAGTGTGAATTTACCCATAGCTGAAGGAAATTTTTTGTATGCTATCAGACTGTCTCAGCATTTAGCTTACCCTACCTATTTTATTGCTCTTTTCCTTCTTAATGGCTAATTTCCAAACATTTGAAGATAAATAGTTTGAAGCTCCATTGCCTCCTGATTTGATGCCTGGTGCCTTAACCACTGCACCAAATGCTGACACAGAAATAATTCATAAAAGGGTTTTTTTGCAACATGAAAATGTGCAAGTCATTTTCTTCTTCGTATGTTTAGATTGATGTGCTAGCTTGCCCAATAAAATCAGACTATAATGAAATTAAAATGACCAAAATCCTTTTCTGCCCAGTTGCCAAAATCCACTCTGTAGAGGATGTGTTTGCATCTTTCATATTCTTTCAAAAGGCAGGCTCACTTGAATTAGACATTTTGCTAGTGGGAAATAATGTTGTTTTGAGCAGACATTTGGTATGAAAAGAATGAGGAGACTCTGAAAGATGCGCAGCAGAACCAACATCCAAGCCAGTCTTAATTTAATTAGGAGGAAAAACATACGAAATATACCTTTCCCTTTTGCTTGGGTTTTATGTGGAAATATTGCTAGGCTGCCTTCTAACCATTACTCTTTTCCCGCCCTCTCTGCAGTACTATGGCATGAAGGAGATGAACTACTACACTGTGCTGTTTGGTGTGTCTCGGGCCCTTGGCGTTCTGTCGCAACTCATCTGGAGTCGGGCCCTGGGCTTCCCACTGGAGAGACCAAAATCCATGAGCACAGATGGGCTGATGGTGCTTGTGGGTGCAAAGTCTGGTTAAAAGCAAGGGAATCGGCAGGGGTTTTAGAACTATTGAGGGAATGATAGAGACAATGCAATTTTTTTTGTGTTTGTTCAAAGGGCCTTGAAAAGATCCTTCCTTAGAGGCATTGGCCATCACTTTTTTCCAGGTTATTTATGAAATAAATGCAGATAAAAGCTAGATTCTTATTACCCACTCCCAACCCCCTCCACACATTACCTTAATTGTCACCAAAAGTTAGATTCTGAAAGGCAAGGCCTTCCTCCCATGTCCCTTTCTCCACAGGCAGCTCTTCCCAACTTGAGCTGATGCCCAAAGTAGAGAAAGTGCTCCTTTCCAGTTCAGATTCATTTCCGTTGCCCCAAATTGTACCACCAGGAGTAGAGGACACACTGCCCCTTTCTACAATCATGTCATTACCACACACTGTGTTGAACCATCTCCATACGGATGGGGTGTTCTGCATTTGAACAATGTGCTCCTTTTTAAACCTCCTTGGAGTGTTGCTTTTTTATCAGTGGGTGAGAGGGAGGGATGGTCCTCTCCTTCAAGATGTCCAGCCTTCTTCCCATTCTGTGCTATTTTTATTCTGTTATAGTGTGAAGCAATGGATTTATGTTCTTAAAAGGATAAAGATGCTGGCACAGCTGAGGCTTGAGCTACCATATTAGTGTGCTGAAAAAATATTGCTTACCTCTTTGTCTAACAAAGAGGGACAGTTTGCTTCCCCCCCCCCCCAACTACCACAATACCTGATTCTCTGGGTTCCCTTTGGGCACACACTCTCTTCTCGAGTTGGACATTTCCTCCTCAAAGATCCTGATTTTGTGTGGGTTGGTGCTTTGTTTCCCAAATCAGAGCTATAGCAATAGCTGTAGGCAGGAACAAAGTGGCGCCTTATGTGGGAAACCTTTCTGATATTTTCTTTCCCCCTCACCATTAACTTCCATGTCAGAATGGTGAAATTGAAAAAGTGGAGTGGAGGTTGCCTAAAATATTGGTAATGCTTCTATAATCGCAGTTGTGAACATGTTGCAAAGTGGCATTAAATCAGTTGCCACCAATTTGAGACAAAGTCCGCCTCCAGGCCTCCTTTCCTCTCTTGAAAGGACTTCATACACTCCTACCAATGTTTGTTTTTCTGTGTTTGTGGGAAATCCTTTGTCCTATAACCTCAAGAGAAAAAAAAACCTCCACTTAAGCTGAAGATGCAGGGTAAGTGCCTGTGTCAGCTTCTGTTGCAAACTTTGGATGGTTCTGTATAAACTGAAAAATAAATGTTTTTATTAACAAGTTACAGTGATGTCCTTTTTTCCTCCCCCGCAGAACATGTAGTTTTTACCTTTGGAGCTTTTTACCATTGGTCTCATTGCCCCCCCCCCCTTTTCATTTTGACCAGAATATATGATTTCTTTACAATACTGCAGTGAGGCACTAAATGGAATAACAGTGGATAGATGGGGCAGCTCTGAGAATGACTGGATAGGGAGAAGGGCTGGCCTGTGCAGTTTTTCCTTTCATCGTTTCATATCTACCTGCTTTGGATGCAGTAATGTGTGAGATCCTGAAAATGTGCGATACTGATCATGCTTTCTTGTTGATTTCCTCAGTACTTCCATCTTGAAATCTTTTTACTCTCTGAAGAAGACTGGATCAGAAAGCAAGTTTGCTAATCAAGGATCTTACACTGTATTGCCAAAAGTATTCGCTCACCTGCCTTTACTCACATGTGAACTTAACAGTATTTAACCTGTGATTATGTCTTCCCGACTGAATTGCTGTTAGTATTTTATTCCCCCTTTGGATTCATTGTTGAGTCACTGACACTGCATTAGTGCCCATAATGTGGCTAGATATTTCCTTAGTCTACTCCATGCTTCATTCATTTTTATTATCCTACAGATGCATATCAGTTATAATGTGACTTCTCCAACTTCATAACTTTTTTCCTTGTTCTTTGTGCTAATTACAGTTAGTCTGGATTTTATCAGACTGATTTTCATTTTTCTGTTCTGTATTAATATGAGTATTGGGTAGAGAATTTGTACCAACATCCATTAGACATCAGTCAGCAGAGATCTGGAGCATGTGGACTGTCCATATGGGAATGCATGGGGCAGGCAGAGGTTGAGGGGAGCAGATAGTCCTGCAAGTAGCTCGGTTCTATGGTATCTAAAGCTTTGAAGGCAATAACCAAGAAACTTGAATTACACCTGAACATCTATTGGGAGCCAATATAAGTTCATATGCGAGTAAAGGCAGGTGAGCGAATACTTTTGGCAATATAGTATATCATATAATGCTAAATCACAAATGGTTTCCCTTTTTTCATTTGGCTCATTCAGCCAATCAGAAGGATTCATGTATGTGCTTGCTTGACCCTCATGAAATTAGGTCTGGGCTGATGCTCTTATTTCCCTGAATGGAATATTTGCAGAGTTGCTTGTCACCAAACTGAAAAGATAATGCAAAGTGTTAGATTTGGTTTTACCTTAATTCCTTTGAGATGGCAGTATTGACTTGCAATTCTGTGTTGGTTGGAGAGAGTTAAAAATGTGAATGGGAACCAGGGTTTCCCACATCTAAATTTATATGTGGTCCTATCTTTGTTTTTGAAATATTGTATTGCCAAAATTTGGTCATTTGCCATAATATTTCAGGGACTCATAGATAAGTGCTCTACGTTCCAGAAGCAAATATTCCCATGTTTAAGAAAGTACATCAAAGTAGTTTTGGGTACAAGATCATACATTGTTTTCTGTGACAAATCGTACATACAATAATTTGCTATGCTATACAGCACTCATTTGTTTTATTCAATATTCTGCGTTTTATTCAATATTCTGCGTTCACATGCGGTATTCAAACATAAACTAAAATGTTGATGCACAACCTACAGTAAATTGATTCATTGTTTCTTGCAAACTCAGAAAAAACATAGTGGTTGTAGACTTTTGGCTGCAGGCTTGTAGATGTAGTACAAAAGTTGACATTAGATTTGCCAGTCAAAAACTCAGTTCAACTTGAGAACAAACTTTTTTTTTGTCCTTGAAGTGCATAGTGCACACTGGCAAGAAGTCAACATCTGCTGTAGATTGGTTGGATGTGTGCCATAGTGGGGAATGAAATTCAGCTGGAATGAACTTCCCAGAAACATTCTATAAATAACCTTAGGTCTCTTGTGGACACACCAGAAAGCAGAGGCTATATTTGAAAATTCAAATCACTATAGTTTTTTGTTTGATCCAGCATCATCATAGAGTTAAGTAAACACATTAATGAGAAAAGCATTTGATAACAGGTTTCCTCTGAATAGCACCATTTTGCATTACTGTACAGGCTATCCTATTTTGAATGTTTTTTGCTTTAAAGAAATATATCGCTGAATTTGAAACCTCCATTGTGAGCTTTGGTTTAATAAGCTCAAAGATGTGTATTTCATTCTGAGATTAGGTTGACTAACCGGACAGGGTTCAAGATGGGAAGCACTTTAAAATGCACATTTAATAATCTATTCAGCTTCTGTTTTAAAAGTTTTCTTTGGGAAATACTGAGACACTTAAAAGTTGAAAGCTACTTTTTATGAAATGTACAGCAGTATGTTTTCTATGTGTCCAGAAAGTGACACATATCACTAAAATAGTGGTATTTCAATAAGCAAAAGTGTATATATATGACTGAAAATTATAGACTAGGTCACACACCACACATAAAACCATAGATAATGGCTCTCAGATACTGAGTTAAGGGGGGGGGGGAAGCTGAGCTGTCAATCCCACATGAATGGGTCCATACAAATAAAATCTCGAGGATCCAAACGAGTGGAAGAATTCTCTGGTGGGATTTTGCTTTATTATTTATTAAATTTATATGCTGCCCATCTCACTATCAAATGACTGTCAACTCTCTACTGAAAGCCAAGTAACAAAAGACCCAACTCCGATTTTGACTGGAAATTTTGCAACATGCTAGGGACCACTGGAGCTAAATGTGGCATAGGTTTTTATAAAATACAATTTAAGCTATCGGGATTCTTGTCTGTGTGTGCACACATGTCACTGGGAGTCAGGCAAAATGTTAATATTCTTCGAATGGCTGACCAATTTCATTCAGCTGAAGTATTTTTTTGTTTTCTTTCAACACCTTTCTAGTGCTTTGATCTAAATATGCATAACAAAAATTTGAATTCTTAATGAATCAGCAAGACATCTTCTGGGGAAATGGTACACATCCCCCCCCTCCATCCTTCAACTACTGAAGATTACTTCCCCCTGAATAAATCAAAGCAGTGAGGTGGCCAGTGGCAACATTAACAAATATTTTCTCCAGAAGTTGTGAGCATGGCTTCAGGTACAGAAACCTGTATGAGTTCCAGAAGTCTCAATCTGAAACATCCCATTCTTCTAGAGCTGCATAGGCTGTGTTAACATATCTACACCATGTCTTAGCTTGGATAGAGTTGGCTATTGCTACAGTTCCGCAGTATTTGCTGTGTCTCTTCTACGCAAAATCAATGCTTAATGTTCACTTCTTGTAAGGCCAGTGCTAATTCACCTCACTTCCACTGCAGTGGGTGGCTATCAGTTTTGTAAAAGAGTTCAGTGCTCCACATTTCTCATAGAATTGAGGGCATGAGAGTACAAGCACCCAGAGAGGCCTCCCATACTTCCAGAGCATAGCAGTGGTTGACGTAGGCGGATACTTGCCTACACTAGAAGGGGAATTTTGTTGTCCGCATTTAGCAACTGCAATCTAATGTCCCATGACCCATAAGATGTTCTGCTGACTTTCAACACATCCCTGCCCTCATATAAGCCACAACATCTGACGGGGAATTACTGCATCTTTTCGCAAACATATTTTATTAGTCTCTATAAAAATGCAGTTCAGTTTTTAATAATCAAATAAGGAAAAAAGGATAGGGGAAAATAATTTCTTTTACTGATTCTGCATGATTCTGTCTACTCTTTTTGTCTACAAACATATCCTTGCTTTACAATGTGAGGTAGCACGTAACAGGCTAAGGAACATAAGAGAGCTAATTCAATAAAAAATATGTGCAGAGGGAGAAACAGAAGGCACAAATTTAAGACATCTGTTTTGACAAAGGACAGCAGCAAAATTAGGCATTTAATACAGATGGACTTGAAAAAAACTTATATTCTTCAGGTTCATTAGATGGCAGCAAATAAAACACCACATGCTAAAACCGATAGGAAACTTCAGGAACAAAATGTAAAAAAAAAAAAAAGCACCCAGGCAGGATAGCCTGCTTAATCTCACTTTATAAATTGGTTAAGTATGCCACAACACCCAATTTCGATTGCGTGCCTAGTTTAACATCCAACTGATTTCAATGGGACTCTCGTTCAAGTATCTGGATCTGCATAAAAGCTACTTCAGTGGAGGTGGTCACAAATACAATTACTGCAATGATTCAAGGATTTCATTTAGAATAATTTAAAGTAAACAGCTGCAACTCTGAATCCTGCTCCTTGAAAAAAAGTTCTAATATATTTCAAGATTAATTTGCCTGTAAGTGACTAAAAATAGCCACCATGCCTTCATTAACAGCCAGATTTGGTCCCCTCTTGGCAAATTAATGGATGCAAAATTATCTTTTAGTTTTAGGGGTATTCACCTGTGCTAAAAGGGGCCGCTGTGAAGTCAGCATTCTTCATAGTGACTATTATTACAAAACAACTGTGTGAGGTATACCTTATACTCACCAACAAACCAGCTTTGTAGAGCAACAGCTGATCTCCGCATGAAAAAGAAAAGGCAGACAATCCTGGCACTAGTGTACTGTTATTCAGAAATCAAATTGATGCCAGGGCAAGTGTTATTCTAAACTAGCATTCTAGGATTTCTATTACTGAACAATATGGACATTGCATAATTCTTCATTTTATCTTGAAATTACAGATAGGCAGCAGCAAGATGACTGGCTTGTTTCTGATTCATAAACGTTCCTAGCAACTAGAAACTTTTTAAAAAGAGAATACTAGGTTTCTTTGGAAACTGATTTCTACATACATCAAGCTCTGGTTTGATTTGGTTTTTACTCCTGGAGAACAGCAATAGCGGCATGTAATCAAAGCAGTAAGTCTGCTGCTGTCACAAATGCCCTTAATCTTTCTTTTGGACAGTTGCACAGCTATCTAGTTGTTCTAAACGTGGGCAGTCCTTAATGTGATTATACAGAAGTCTAACCATGTTCAGCAGGATTGAATTTCAAGGAAGCATGAATAGGGTTTGCAGCTTTGGTCAATTAAGGTGACCGAGAATATATTTCAAAATCCTTGGGGAAGTGTTGGTTCTTTAAGTTGCATTATTATTAATACCAGTATATCAACTGTTTTAAAATGCTTATTCCTCATAGTATAGTTACACAGCTGAAAAAAGGGTTAGCTGGGATTTGAACGTGCCCCATTCTCCCAGACAATAACTGAGTTTCGTTAAAATATATCCTGTATTCAGATCTTTCAGAGTGTTGCTTCCAGCTCATACATTCAGTGTGAAAGTCTGCCATGCATTACTGGATTTAAATGCAAAGGCTCCGTTCTGTGTCACTGAAACTTAGTATTTACTATTGGCCCAACTGGTCATCCTCCTTGTATAACAAGGGCAGCTAGTCAGAAAGATCTCTATAAATTTGCTGGATTTTTTCTTTTTAAAATCATAACCCAAGATACGGCCTGCTGAGGAAGATAGAATGCTATGATAACTTAGATTTTGTTAGACAGTTAGATATTTGAAGTTTCCTATGAGTGATTTCACCACTCTTAAAAAAACAGGGGGAGGGGAACATACTTTTTCAGGCAAGCATTCCAGGCAGCGCAATTTAAAAACACAAACACAATCTTGCCTCCTTAAGTCTGAGACTTAAGAAAAGACTACTGCAGTCTGTGCCCTCTGTGTGGAAGCTTGCCATGCATAGCACACAACATCAAAACTAAGATAAGTGAAGGACCTCAAAAGCATTTTACAGGAATGAAGCAGTTGAGTTTGTGAGGATGGAAGGAAGAGAAGCATATTTAAATATGAATGATGATAGCTGGGAATTTGCTAAGAAAAAGGTAGCCGTTCTAGGGCCCAATCCACACAGCTCGGCTATGACAATGGAGCCAACACTCCAAAATCCAGGAAGAGTAAGTGGCAGCTGACTGATTCATGGGAACCGCCTCAAAGCCAAGCTGCTTTGCAGCAAGCAATTCCTTCCAGAGTTTGGCAAGAGTTACAGTCCACAGACAGAAGCAGCCCAGGCAGATTTACTCCATCTGTACATCAAAGGAATCTTCTTCATGTATTCCAAGTAATGCTCAAATATCCCCCTGGATCTATGCATTGCTCACTCCTCATTACTCAAATCTGTTAGGCTTTTTATCTATGACAAATGAAGCCTGGAGATTCTGACCCTAAGGAGAAAGTTCTGAGGAAAATCGTTGTAGTCACATATCCCCACTGAGCCATTCCTTTTGCTAACTTGTGGCACATTGAAGCAGGGCCTAACTTTTAGGCTGATTATTTTACACCCACCCACCCCCAGGAAAACATTTATTCATTTTTATGAGTTTACATTGATGCCCAGCCCTTTCCATAAAAAAATATACATATTGATCCACTAGTATTTCTCTCGCCCTCCCCCAAAGTTGCATCTTCACCAAACCGCACATTCACACACACACACCAGAATTTTTAGCATCTCTCTCAGGGTGACACAGGTCTACAGGGTAAAGGAGACACTAGAAGGAGTTTGTTCAATCCCTCCACAGAAACACAGCCGAAGTGGCACTCTCTTCCTAGCCTTGGCAATCCTACACCCATGTGGTTTGTGCAAATAGTGCTTTTAACCAAAATAAAAACTCCTTGGGTAACTAGAAAGGAGATGGAGGGTTCAGACCAAGCTGGGCAACACAAAATTAGTGTTAATGGAGTGGGAAAAGGGAGGGTTCGGGGTATACCCACAATGGGGATATAAGCCCACAATGGATACAGCCACTCATGGCACAGAAATATGTGATGGAAGACAAACCGTGGTTTTGAAGAATCGGGATCTGTTTCTTCAGAGCAGAAGCCCTCGGCCTTCTAACACCATGTTCCAGTCTCTTCTTGCAGAGCAGCATAAAGAGGTGGAGCTGAGTAAACTGAAAAAGTTAGGTCATAGGGTGGCTTTGCTGTTTTAATTGCTCCCGAAATATCCTGGCTGCTGAACTTCTGAAGTGCTTGCCATCAAAACATCCGCTGGTCGGGGAACATTTGAGTTTTGAAACTGGTATGAAATCGTCTTGGAAGGCTGGACATTACAAGCTGGACATTAAAGAAAGCTTCAGTGGTCCTGCAATAGGAAGGGCCACTCTCTTTTGTCCCTCACATTCCTTCCTATCTCAAAATACTTTCATTAAGAGCAACATCTGTTTTCTAAAATAATCCCAACCCCACAAAGAAAGCCTTTCCTTGGCCCCCATCATTCTCTCAAAAAAGGCACTCGCAGAGCAGCTAAGTGGCTGCCATTTCTTTCTGACCTAAGCCAGTGATGAAAAGGAAAGGTGGAAGAACCCAATGTATCACTGACTGCCAAAGCCACCCCCAGGGCCACAACTGTAGGCCATTCTCTTTTATCAAGAAGTGGACTGTTATTTTCCTTTAAAACACAATTTAAGAGGCACAATTTTCAACTGGTCTTCCTTAGGCCCACTGAGAGAACTTAATGAGCTTTGGCTACCTCTTTCTCAAGAAGTCAAGGAACAGCACAAACTACAACCTAAGGCAGCCACAGTGGTATGTTTCATAGAAAGAAGCTTCAAATAAAGTATGCTAAAAAGAAAAGAACCCAGCATAAAAGCCCGGTCGGGTAAAATAAAAGTGAAGACTGAGACGTTGCTCCAGAGGTAACGTGGCACTCTGACCCTTTCCTTAGGAATAAGTCTTGGTCATCACACCAGGCCCAGTGGATAAATTAAACAGGATATCAGGAGAAACCAAATAAATAAGATAAAAACAAACAGCTGGGGATGCTGTAAGCAAACGCCCAATGTCAAGTGTCCGCAGAGTGACCAAAGCAGCAGGCACCCTTCACGTCTGATGGACTTTGTGGAACATGAGTTCTTGAGGAATGTGGGTCTCCGGGCCATAAGTCTTCGCTGCCCGGCGCTCAAAGGCTGCCACCATCTGCTTTACTACCTCATCGAAAAAAACTGTAGCCAACTGCGAGTGCAGCAGGGAACGAAATTCAAAAGAGATCTGAGGAAAAAGAACAGCACATTGGACTACCGTGAAGATCGTTTTTCCACAGTGGAGCTAGGGCATTTACAACGAGAAAGCTCCAGAGGAAAGGCTGGAAAAGATTTGCTGCGGATGAGTAATTTTGAAATTACAAATTGGGAGAGACTGCAGAAAGCATTCTTGAGAAAAGCAGAAATAATAAATACACTTATAAAAACTACCATATTTTGGGGAGTATAGGACGCACCTTTATCCCCCCCCCCCCAAAAGAGGGTGAAAATCTGGATGCGACTTATATACCAAATACAGTATTTTTGGCCTCCCAAAACTCGCCCCTTCACAAAAATGGACATGCAGAGGGTTTGGGAGACCTGCAAAGTGCTCCTGGGGGCTGGGGAGGGCAAAAACAAGTGAAAAACGGGTCATTTTTCACTTGTCCCCCCCCCCACGCGCACTCTACAAGCCTCCTAAAGGCTATGCATACCCTTTTGGGGGGCAAAAAAAGGGCCCATTTTTGTGAAAAACAGGCTGTTTTCTGCTCACTTTTGCCCCCCACCTCCTAGGAGCACTTTGCAGGCCTCTCAAACTCTCTGCATGCCCCGTTTTTCACAAAAAATGTGGTGAGGCGTGCAGAGGGTTTGGGAGGTCTGCAGAGTGCAAAACTTTTTTTTTTTTTCCAAATTTACCTCTTCAAAATCTTGGTGCATCTTATACTCTAAAAAATACAGTATCTACAACTACTTGTTGAAAACTAATGAGGCTCCAATATTTTTTCCCCCCTACAGAAATTGCCAAGGGGTGTATTACTATGAAAATAAATTGGGATGGCCCACCGGACATCATCTGATCCATCCATCACTAGTTGAGTCTTCAGGCAGCAGCAGAAGGAAAGGACAACTTAGTCTCAGTTGAGCATCAAGAGTACAAAGCGATAGCATCCAGTTGGATGACAGAGAACTCCAAAGAGTTCCTGTTTATGGCACCCATGTAGCTAAAGGTTGACTATTAGAAATACTGCTTTCTCTAACTAAGTCAGAACTTCCAGATAACTAAATCAGCATCTGGCATAAATGCAGCACATGGCTGACTTGTTCATACTTTACCTATGCTTAGCACTTAAGACTTATATATCACTTCACAGTGCTTTACAGCCCTCTCTAAGCAGTTTACAAAGTCAGCATATTGCCCCCAGCAATCTGGGTCCTCAAATTTACTGACCTTGAATGGATGGAAGGCTAAGTCAACCTTGAGCAGGTCAGGATCGAACTGCTGGCAGTTGGCAATTAGCCTGCAATACTGCATTCTAAAGATCTAAGAGATCTTTACAGCTAAGGTTGTAACATAATGGGATGTGTGGTACAGGATTGCCATACTCATCTAGGTATTAGGATGGTTGGGATGGTTTCTTACTTTTATACACTATTGGTCAAAGGTAAAGGTTCCCCTTGCTAGTTGTTCCCAACTCTAGGGGGCGGTGCTCATCTCCGTTTTAAAGCCGAAGAGCCAGTGCTGTCCGAAGACGTCTCCGTGGTCATGTGGCTGGCATGGCTAAACACTGAAAGTGTACAGAACGCTGTTACCTTCCCACCAAAGGTGGTCCCTATTTTTCTACATTTTCTGCATTTTTTACGTGCTTTCAAACTGCTAGGTTGGCAGAAGCTGGGACAAGTAATGTGAGCTCACACTTGCGAACCGCCGAACTGCTGACCTTTTTTTTTCCAAGGTGTTTTTTTGGTTTGTGAACTGCCGACCTTTCTGACCGACAAGCTCAGCGTCTTAGCCACTGAGCCATCACATCCTCTTTCTACACTATAGCTCCCATGATTAGAGGTGCCATAGGGGTATCTACTAGGTCAGGGGTGTCAAACCTGCGGTCACATGAAGTATCGTGACTTTCCCTTTAAACTGGGCATGGACATGGCCAGTGCATGACACATCTGGCCTGTGGGCCACGTGTTTAACAGTCCTGTACTAGGTGGACTCCCTTTGGGAAGTATAGAGCTTGGAGACCAGAGAAGTAACATACTTCAGTGATCTTGGTGTTCCCTACTCTGCTTCAAGGAACAGCTCCAGGAAAAGGAGATTTGTGATAGGAATGTTCAGTACCAGGAGCATCACTGCCAGCAGAATATGATTCTAGCTCCTTCACAACTAGGATCTCACACTCTCCTCAATAGTAATGGAAGGTCCACCTTTTTTTTAAAGTCTGATGGATGCAGGGCCCCCACATCATTCCTCATTTATGCAAGAACTAATGAGCTGGTGAGGAATCCCATTAGCCTTTGTGTGCTTACTGCGAAGTCCAGGGTACACGTGCGAGGATAGCCTGGAATGCCAGGACTGAAACGCCAGCTTGTCTCCAAATGATTGAAAAGCTTCCCATCAGTGCAGACTGCCTGGGGAAAATAACAGCAAAGGTTCATGTTGACAGCAAAGCTCACAGAGTGTGCATTAGCCAAACTGATGCCGTCCAGATATGTTGGACTACAATTCCCAGAATTCTCCTCAACATGGAGGACAGCAAAATGGAGAAGGCCAATAAAATGCAGGATTTCCCAGCCCACCCCAACAGCAGCAGCTCTGGATAAGGATTCACCCACCAACCTGCATATGAAACAGGTATCTCATGTCTGCTTCATGAGTATATGGCCTCATGTGTCACGTTTATGGCAAAGGACTTCCTGTTGAGTACTTTTGATATTTTTAATTTCTATTAAGTGTTCTCTCAATGCCAGGGCCACCACATTCATCAAACCTCCCTCCAAATTATCTGAGGCACCAGGAAAAATTATTAATTACGCAATGCTCATTATTTTTTTGTCATTGCGACACTGAAATATCAGCATCTTGGTTAGCCCATAGGTACACAACTCACCTTTACCAAGTGGGGTTGCACCAATGTCACAATAGAGGTGTAACGTTCCACAACAGGAGGGAATCCAACTTCCAGCTGGGCCTTCACATGACCGGCTCGCTTAGAGACAACAGTTGATTTTTTACACCATGGAACAAATTCCTTATATTCATTCACATTGGCCACAACACCATACATTTCCTGCATGGAATAACTGCAAATAAAGAGAGGGTGACTCGTTACATATGTCCACAATGATGCACAAGTCCACAGTGACACAGGCACATGCGCTTCAAAGGATGTTGGAATATTTATTATGCTGTGGAACATACTTAAAAAGGATTTTTTTTTCAAAATTTCATTTCTTCTCTTCTCAAATCCAGGCTTATGGATTATTATCCTTATGTTTTAGAAGAGAATGGAAGAAAATAGGTTGGAGGTTTCATTTACTTATTCCCTTAGATTCCATCGTATCTAAGGTTTTGCTGTTTGAAGTTTTTATGCATTCTGATATTCAAGAAAGGCAGTAAATTATTTTATATATCATCTTCCTCTTCCCAAGTTTTGCAAAGCTCTGAATCTTATTCATTTTTTACTTTATAGGTTATATTAAAAAAGAAGAAATTTGAAATAATTTATTACAGCATAAGACAAAGTTTGTTAAAAATGTGGAATCTTCTAAAGCCAAAGATAAGTCTGCCAATCTCACCATTAGCTTTATTTTCAAATGCCTATTTCAAGAGCAACTATTAAACAGTGAGAAAGGTTTAATTACTTATGCACATATGGTACAGTACATCTAGAATCAGAAAAAAGACTAAAGAGGTAGAGAAAACTGCTCAGCATGGGTACAAATTTACTATGATTGTTGGGAGGATAAAAAGTTATTTCAAGAGAGGAGGAAGAACCTTGAGAAAAATACAGAAGTTGGAGCACTCATACAAACCCAAGATCATCTATTGGGACTATTGTAACTATAAATGGTTATTGAAATATGACACAGAAATGGAACAAATAAAATAAATGTATGATAAAATCAACACTAAGATTCAAAGAAGTAACCACAGCACAACAATGGGAAAAGTAGAAATATTTAGGTTAGCTATTGGGAAACAAATGGAAAGGAAGGGGAGAAAAGTATGACTAAAGCTTATTTCTAGAATCTTTTTTACTCTATTTTTTTTTCTTTCTACTCTGCATTCTTAACTTTCTAAAAATCTGGTAAAAACTTAAATTAAAAAAATATAAAGGCAGTAAGATCTTTGATACAGAACTGACGAGAAAAGTAGGCGGAAAAATGGAGCAGGAGGAAGGTAACAGGAGGAGGGAAAGTCATTGGGATTCTCTCTTGATCAGCAAATCCTCCCAATTATTTTCCCTACTTATGAAACTGGAGAAGAGCTCTAACAAAAAAAGATCACACAATCTTGGATAGGATTGCAGCAGTGCAGAAGCCTGCTACAAATAAAGAAATACATAAAATCCATCTTTCCAAATCACTTATCAATTGCAAGCAAAGTTCAGCTCTCTTGTTGATAACCCATTTCTAACTGCTGAAGAGGAAGCTAGGCAGAATGAATATGTGGTTAAATGGAGAATATTCATAGAAGATAAGGCTAGAAAGGGCTACTGGCCAATCACTTTGTGTTATCTATAGATTCCAAATATCAAGACAGCTGGGAAGAATAACAATAGCACTATCCAAGTTAATTCTTCCCTTCCCATGAGCTGGGCAGAAGAATTTAAGCTAATTAATCCCTGGTTGCATAATCTAAACTAATAACAGTCTAGGTAAATCTGCACATATCAGCTCTTGATTGTACATCTCCAGCTCTGCATATGTATGGGAAGATAATACCTTCTGGAGAATACAAGGGGATTGGTGGTACTGTTATGTTGAAGCAGGCAGCCTGCAGTTTCCTCAAGAGTTTGCTGATTATGTACAGTACAGGTAGTCCTCAACGTACGACCACAATGGAGCCCAAAATGTCAAGTGAGACATTTGTTAAGTGAATTTTGTCCCATTTTACGACCTTCCTTGCCACAGTTGATAAGTGAATCACGGTAGTTGTCAAGTTAGTAACACAGTTGTGAAGCAAACCTGGCTTCCCCATAGACTTTGCTTGTCAGAAGATGGTCACAGAAGGAGATCGCATGGCCCGGGGACAGTGCAACTCTCATAAATATGAACCAGTTGTCAAGCATCCGAATGTAAATCACATGACCATGGGGGTGCCGCAATGGTCATGTGTGAAAAATGGTCGTAAATCATTTTTTCAAGTCACTGAACCAACTGTTATAAGTCAAGGGATACCTGTATTGCTTTAGCTTGCTGTAAGATTTGGTTGGTCCCTGTGGGAAAGAGGACACTGGATTAAGGCAGACCATAACTTGGATACCACAGATCTCTGCCTTGTGCTTTTATCCCTTTCATTAGAAATAGGTCTTCTTCAGTGGCTTTGGACAATGAAATTTCTAGCATTAGAAGCCTAGAGTTCTATATACTATATTTTTCAGAGTATGATGCACCTTTCCCCCCCAAAAAAGAGGGTGAAAACCTGGATGCATCTTATACCATGAATACAGCATTTTTGGCCTCCGGAAACCCTGCCCCCCTCATAAAAATGGACGTCAGAGGGTTTGGGAGACCTGCAAAATGCTCCTGCCCCCCCCCAACCCCCAGGAGCACTCTACAAGCCTTCTAAAGGCTATGCATGCCCCATTGGGGGGCAAAAAATGGGCCCTTTTTCATGAAAAACAGGCTGGTTTTTGCTCGTTTTTGCCTCCCCCGAGGCCCCAAGAGCATTCTATAAGTCTCCTAAAGGTTATGCATGCCCATTTTTTGCACAAAACGGTCCAGTTTTTGTGAAAAATGGGCCGTTTTTTGCTCGGTTTTGCCCCCCTCAATCCCCAGGAGCACTTTGCAGGCCTCTCAAACTCTCTGCATGCCCCGTTTTTGATAAAAAAATGAGGTGTGCAGTGGGTTTGGGAGGTCTGCAGAGTGCAAAAACTTTTTTTTTAAATTTACCTCTTCAAAATCTTGGTGCGTCCTATACTCTGAAAAATACAGTAGTTTATTACCAAAGGAAATGAGGCGTGTACGTCATGCAAAATGACATTTGAGATGTGCACATTTTCCCTCCCTCAAAAAATCCCCCTCCTGCAAGCCATGTCAGCTCACCCAATGATCCTCCTCTCTGAATATTCCTTCCGTTTGTTGATGAAAGGTCCTGTAAAGCTGATAAATGTCCGACTGTGCTGACCACTGAGATCCCAATCAAGACTGCTGATAGTATGAGGGTCTCGGATCACCAGATTTCCACAGCATGGCATATACCTGGAACTGAAAGATCCTCAGGATTAGCTGGCCTGAATAGAAGTCTACCAAACTTTCCCAGAGGCTAAATGCAACATCTTTTGATCTTGAATAACCTAACAGAGGCATCACCCACTGATTCAGAAAGCTGCAAGTAAAGTATGTTTCAAGCATGACCTAGCATGGTGTCCTGGACTGAAGACCTACATGTACATTGTGGGTAAATCTTCATAGATAATAGCAATAGCAGTTAGACTTATATACCGCTTCATAGGGCTTTCAGCCCTCTCTAAGCGGTTTACAGAGTCAGCATATTGCCCCCAAC